ATTATAAGTGTGGGTATTCACATGCTTCTGATTGATCATAGTCATCTTTTGCGGACACCTCTTAGATATAGCCTGCGGACCCCTGGCTGAAAACCACTGCAGACCACAGGCTGAAAACCACTGTTCTAAGTGAAATTCAGAGCAGCCTGAACATTGACACCACCATGGAGGGAAGATGCTTCCTATGGGCTGCTTGAGTTGCTGGCTTTGGAAACAAGGAAAATCCTTTCCCTGGCAACTGAGTAAGCACCTCATACATCATGCCCTGAAAAACGGCTGGACATGGTGCCATCCCACTTCACTCAGCAACTAGCCAGTTAATGAACTGGCTGCATCAGGGAGCCTGTAACATTTACAGCATGTAAAATGTTTTCATTCTAAACAAAATTTGTGTTTCTTTTCCTTTCTACAATGTCCAAGCCAACAGCCCTCCTGCTCTGAGGCTAACATGCCTGGATGACTGGTGAGCACTGCTTAGTGAGCCTTAGCAGCCTCCAGTAGCCAACTGGTGCACACAGCTCTGGTGCCTATGAATGACCTGACCCTAATAAATCAGTGTGCATGGCACTGACATCAATAACTAAGCTGACAGTTACACTGGCATGCAGAGCCCAGCACCCAGGCCTAGCCCCGCAACACCAAGCCAGGGCTTGGCTCAGCAAGGTAGTGTTATTCAAGAAAAGAAAAGCATTTAAAATGTCTGAATATAAAGCTCTGGCATGGTCTTGTTGCCCTTCAGTGGACAGCCCTGTGTTAACTCCCACTGAGGCTTGAGGTGTGCCCTGCAGCACAACTAGTGTTGCCAAGTTGTAGGAATGGAGCAGAACAGATGTCCATCCAGCTGCCATGAGCCCAGCCTGGCAGTCACATGAATCACCTGCCGTGTCCTGTGAGGGATTGTTCTCTTTATCAGTTTAGACATCACCCCAATCTGTCGACATTGCCCAGTTTATTAATCCCCTCCAGTCAGTGCCCCTGTGGGGAGCCCCCTGGTATGATAGACTGACGTCTACCTCAATAACACTTTATATCTGATCATTTGTGCAAATAAAACACTACCATGCAGAAAGCTGTATCCTGCCCTGTCTTTACGTTGCTCCCTATTAGCTAAGCATGCAGCCAAGGCAGAGTGACTGATACAGGGGGCAGGAGAAGGGAAGGAACCCTTTGCTATACAAATGAACTGCAACACTGGCTCAGGCACACGGGTCCAGCAGTGGCTGTTTTAGAGGACAGTGCATGAGTGATCACATCCAGGTTCATCTGCTTTCTCGCAGGGATGGAGTTGAGCTCCAAACCTATCACATCCTGGTACCTGAGTCAATCCTTTCTTGGATGCTCTCTGCTATTGACCTTATGCCTATGAGACCTCCATGTGCACAAGCAAACTTATGGGAAATCTTAAAGGGGAAGCCCTGACCACCCCTGACTCAATGACAAATAGCCCATTGATTGCAAGGACAGACTTTCATCCATAGCTTCCAAATTAAACATTTATTTGTTCCATTTCTAATATGGTGTTCCCAGACTCCAGCATGCTGCAATCTCCCAGCTAAACAGAGCCAGCACTTGGAAGAAGCCCCATCAAAGAACACTCAGGCTTGTAGAATAGGTCAGATATGAGAGAAGCTACTGAGGGAAAGTGTACAATCTGGAAGCAGGCTCTGTGTGAGAGTTACAGGAGAAGGAAGAGCACAAGGGAAAGAGTGTGGAGATCACCTGTGATCAGGAAGGGAAATTTTTGCAGTGGAAAGATCAGAGAAAGAGCAGAACTTAGTAAGACCTGGTAAAGAAAAGCAGGTTGAGGGGGTGGGGGAGGGCATCCAAGTCTGCAGACTACATGAGGCTTGGGTGGAGTTAAGAAATGGTTGGTGTGTGTTCAAAGGACTGATGGAGACAGGGCTGGTTGGAAGCAATGAGACCATCTTTTAATCCAACCCCTGCATAGTTCCAGGACTGATTGTCCTAAAGCATTCCATAGAGGTATCTGTCATTCCTTATCTTAAAAAACATAGCTGCAAAAGTGGCCCATCTGTACAAGCATTTGGGCTGATTCAGTGTGTGCTTGAATTTGGAAAAAAATGTTCATAGTTGATCAAGCTTCCTTTTGCAGTTGACCTTGAATCAGTTTTATGTCAACCTCATGCAGCAGATTTTGCTCAGAGGCAGGTCACACATGCCTGCCTAAAAAAAAACCAAACTGGAGCAGCAGAGGAGAACAGTGCCAGAATAGAATTTATCTGGGATATTAACACTCCAAGAGTAAAACGATCAAAAATATTTGTTATTCACAGTGATACGAGCATTTATTAAGGACAAAAATGCCTCAATGCTGAGCTTGTTGGTGAGCTATGCATGAAGCCTTTTCTCAAAGAAAATCATTTTGAAGCTCCAGCAAGACAACTCCATTTTCCAGATCTGGCAGCACTTCTGAAGGCTAGGAGGTTGTCAGAGGGTGTAGCAGAGGACTCCTACCCCTGCTACTAGAAAGAAGAAAAGAGCAGTGTTACAGAGGGCAGGTTAGGGAATGCAGCCTGGAGAAGGATGAGCTGTTGGATTCCAAGCAGCTAATGAGGGGATTGTCAGCCCTGTTGTTGATTTGGATAATTGGCAGCATTTGGGTCTTGCTTTTCCAGGGAGTCCAAATTAGGTGACCAAAAGGGAGTGGGATCAAGGGCCATATAAGCCTGAGCCTGGGGCAGAAGGCTTAGTCCAGTCCAGATCCCCATGAATATAGGAATTCTGCAGGGACCTGTATACAGAGATACGCTATATTTTGCTTCTGATTTGGGTTTGTAGTTAGTGTGAGCTCTGGAGTGGTTTGAAAGGGAGGAGGAGGAGGCCATAGGTGGGGTGCCTATGATGCACTATGTGTTATGAGGGGCTAAAACCCAGGCAGACCCATAAAAAGATTTGGGACCTGGTGGGTTGTGAGGGGCCTGAGGAAGGGGGCTGAAGTCTGGAGGAGGAGGAAGCACAAATGAGAGCAAAACGGGCCCAGGAGGCTGAAGCTGGGACGGAGCCAGGGGCCCAGCAGAAGCAAGAGGGGTGGAAGCCTGGGAGAAGCTGAAGTTCAGACCAGAGCAAGACAAGGCCAGCAGCTGAGACCACAATGAGAAGGCAAGGAGAGAGACCTGGTTCTGCCCAAGCTAAGGTGTGAGGGTGGGGCAGGCTGGCAGCCTGACAATGAGCAAAGCACCAAAGGCCGAGCTCTGGTTCTCTGTGGGCAGCCTCTTAGAACTCCCATTAATGGAATATAGCGGTGTGGCAGGCGAGAGGGTAAGGCCCCACTGGGGAGCTGTCTGGGTAGGCGTGGTGCCACTGCTTCCCACAATGTGATGAGCCCATTACAGCAGGAAGCAGACATTCATCATCATCTGGGCTGTGGATCCTGTGGCAGCCGGCAGATGCCTGGGAGAGGAGGAGGCCAAGCTGAGGTGAACAATGCACAGTGGGAAACCATATTTGGACTATGTGGGGAGGAGGGGCTGCAGTGCTGCCCTTGAAGTACCAGCCAGATTTTGGATGCTCCTCCATGGAGATGAACCTGAAGTTGGTTTCTTATTGCCAGTTCCTTATGCCTGGTTCCTGGTTCCTTTTTCAAAGATACGGCACTTTTAATAGTCTTTGTGTAAGAATCAGCAACAAAGTTTGGTGCTTGGGCCAAAGTCTGCAGTGGCAGCCTGCCCTCACCCCATGCACAGATTTGGGGGGCACATGCCCCTCCATGCATGCCTGGGAGTGCTGTCATCCCTCTTGCCCCCCCACCACTTTTCTACCCCCTTGATACGGCACTGAGTGTTAGTAATGAATTACACAAGCTAAAGAGCTAGGATTTTATCAAAAATGCTTATTTACTAATAAAAATGTAAAACAATAACATGTATCAAATATATAGCCCTGAAAAAAGACCTGAGATTAGGCTGGAATTATGGGAAACCCTTTTGGCTCACTTCAAAACATGTCTACACCACCAGGGGATTCTTCTGACTGAGTAAGTCTGAACAGGGTGCTGCCCCATCCAAAGCTTGGTTTTTGAGTGCCAGTCTGCCCACCAATGGACCCCCACACCAGGCCTGTGTGCAATGTATGTAACACTAAATAAGGAACTCTGTTTGGACTAGATTATGCATGGAAATCTTTTTCTGGTCACCCCAAAACGCAAAAATCTGCCACCAGGAGAATCTTCCAAAGAGGTCTGGCCAAACTCTAGCCTGACCTGAAGCTGGTTTGTGAGTGCCAGGCTGCCAACTCACAGGCCCACAGCCCTTAATAAGGAGCTGGGCTGGGGCTGTGATTAGGGGTGGAAATCCTTTTTGGGTCACCCCAAAACACTCTCCCCAGGAAGTCTGGGCAGAGTCTAGCCTGACCCAAAGCCTGGTTTGAGTGCTAGGCTGCCAACTCATGGGCCCCCAGGGCCTGAATAAGGAGCTTGGTTTAGACTGTGATTATAGGTGGAAATCCTTTTCAGATCACCCCAAAGTACACATCCCTGACATTAGGGGGCTTTCCTGAAGAAGCCTGGTCAGCATCCTGCCTGACCCAAAGCTTGGTTTGTTAGTGGTAGGCTGCCAGCTCACAGGACGCCAGTCCTGAATAAGGAGCTGGGTTTCATCTGGGACTGCAGGTGGAAAAACACCCGTCTCTAGCATGGGAGGACTCTAGCCAAGAAGTCTGGGAAGAGTCCAGCCTGACCTGAAGCTTGGCCTCTGTGCGCCAGGCTGCCAACTCACAGGCCCCCAGCCCTGATTAAGGAGCTTGGTTTCAGCTGTGATTATGGGTAGACATTAGAGGTGCACTGATGCATGGGTCACATATCAGATGAGCACTGGACCGTCGCGACCGCTCCGCACGGGCCCTCAGGCGCCACCGCTGCCCAGCGCCCCGCCCAGCCCGGCCCCTACAGCAGCGCCCCCAAGGCCCGGCCCAGCCCACCGGGATTCGAACCTACGGGCGCTCATCTGCCTCCCGCTAGCCCCACTCCGGGGCGTAGCCAGACCACGCCCAGTAGGCCGGAAGCGGCAGGGGCGGGACTTGGTGGTAGGCGGAGACCGGAAGTGAGGTGTCGCTATGGCGGAGCTCTACGTGAAGCCGGGTGAGGGTGGGGGGTTTGGGGCTAGGGGCGGGCTGGGGAGACGCTGTGCGCCCCCCGTGACCGCGATGTCTCGTGTTCCGCAGGGAATGCGGCGCGTGGCTGGAACGACCCTCCGCAACTCTCGTACGCGCTGCAGGCCCGGGGCGGCCGCCGGGGCCCGCTCACTCGCAGGGCGCATGCGCCGCCGACCGCTGCCGCCGGCGACCTAGGTAAGCCCCCGGGA